GCTGAAAGAATATTCTAACGAGAGAGAGAATTTTATCATCGATGATGCAGATAAGAAATTCGATGAAAATGAAAACATCAGCAAAGATTTTGATGACGAGGATAAATGGAATGAATATGACGATAAACCAGTCAATCCAAGTACTACTGAAACATTATTAAATGACGAGATTGGTGATAAGAATGATATTGGTATCAAATTTGCTCCAGGAGAGAATAACAGGCCGATATCGATTTTAATGGATTTAAAAGTCGATGAATTAACATTTCCGAAAATTTATTGTGGCAAGCAAAGAAAAATCAAAGCGAATGTTAAATTAACTTATGCTAAGATTGCCAAGTCAGAATTAAGAATGTTTGATCGAAGATGTGGCAGAATATCGAAATTGTTTTTCACATATAAGAAACTACAAACGAGAAAGTTCTCCGATGCTATTTCAATAAATTTGAGAAAGACAAAAAATACAAAAAACATAACTGCTACACAGATGCTCAATCGAGATTATGTAAATGGATTAATACATAATGATGATGCTTTTACATTCTTAAGATGTGATCGATCTTCACCAGCATTTTGGGAACTAAAAAAGAAAGAAGTTATGGCAATGATCAGGCAATTAGGATGTCCAACACTATTTTTAACATTATCAGCAGCAGAAACAAAATGGTCAGAACTAATTGTAATATTGACTCAAGTGTTGGAAAATAAAGTAATAACATTAGAGGAAGCAGAAAACATGAGTTATGAAAAGAAATGCGATTTGATAAGAAATGATCCTGTAACATGTGTTCGTTATTTTGAACATAGATTAAAATATTTATGGGAAATATTATCAGCTCCTTGTGGTCCATTTCAAGGCTATGAATTAGTAGACAAATATGTCAGAACTGAATTCCAAGTTCGTGGTTCACCACATGTTCATGCTCTACTGTGGTTAAAAAATGCTCTGAAATACGACAAAGAGAAACCTGAATCGATCGAAAGATGTACAGAATTTATTGATAAATTGATTTCGGTTAGTTCTAAGCCAACGAAGTTTTCTGAAGAACTTATCAATTTGCAACGTCATAAGCACTCACATACTTGTAAAAAATATGTAACAGATTGTATTAAATGTCGTTTTGGTATTCCATATTTTCCGATGAGAAAAACGATGATTTTAGAACCATTTAGTGACGATGAAAAGTTAACTAAGAAAGAACGTGAAGAGATCAGCAAAAATAGACAGAATGTAATCAAAGAACTTGATAAAATATCAAAAGATCAAGATAATTCATTAACTTTTGAAGAATTCTT